TCTTGCAGCCACTAAGCGACTGAAAACTTTCCCAAAGACTACATCATTACCTTGATCGGGCTCCAAAGTTTGTGTTACTATTTTCGATGCTCGTTTAGCGTCTTTCAGGATCCGAGACGGCTGCAACTTCGAAATGTAAGAAAAACTAACGGAAACTCACTAGAGAAGCGCTCAAACTGGCATACAAACGGGATAGTTTGCAGACTCCTTCCGAGGAGAAAAATCCTAGCTGAATGTTTCAGTTCGAACCCAAAGTAAACTTTTAAGTGAAAAGTGAGAATTGGGAGTGGCTTCTGCAGCGAATTATGCAAAGCAATCTTATGGTTGTTTACACAACGCCAACAAACCCTTCTATTCCCTGTTCTCAGAATTTTATTAGACACTCGTTGGAAATTTTCTGATGTTTTTTCATATGTTTATGATTCCAAATCAGAACTCCAAGGGGCCTTAAAAGCCTCCGAAGTCTCCAGGCCCACTCTCATATCTCGGGAAGTTTTCCCGCAGTTTAAAGCTGTTTATCTGCTTATTTACATAGAAAGTATTCTTTGGCGTTATCTGGAGAACTTTCCAGGTTTTATATCTCCAGGAAAGCAGCCCCTTTTCGTTTGATTAGATTGTTGTGAGTTGTACCTGGGCGCGGAATAGAACTGAAAGTTTCATTTCGCTTGGATCAATTTGTATCGCGGATTTTTTCGTTCAGAGTCCAGAGAAGTTCAGTGAAACTTTTAATGGGCCACTGCGATTTTTCTAGCAAAAGCTGTCTATTCTGTATGAAAAGTTGCGAATTTTTGAAAACGAGCGGGCAGTTGAGCAAAATCTGCCCTTTCCTAGCTGCGTTTATAAAATCGGGCCTTCATGCGATTTCAACGTAAATACCAGGGTCGTTTGGGTCCAGTGTTGTCTATAGCGTGGGCAAGTTTCACATTGCTGTCTATTCTGTATGAAAAGTTACGAATTTTTAAATACGAGCGTGCAGTTGAGCAAAACTGCCCTCTCTTAAGCTGCGTTTATAAAATCGGGCCTTCTTGCTATTTCAACGCAAATTTCAGGGTCTTTTGGCTCAAGTGTTGTCTATAGTGTGGGTAAGTTTCACGTGTCTGTCTATTCTGTATGAAAAGTTACGAATTTTTAAAAACGAGCGTGCAGTTGAGCAAAAACTACCTTTCTTAAGCTGCGTTTATAAAATAGGACTTTCATGCGATTTCAACGCAAATGCGAGGGTCTTTTGGTTCAAGTGTTTTCTATAGCGTGGGCAAGGTTTCACGTTGCTGGCTTTTCTGCATGAAAAGTTACAAATTTTTAAAAACAAGCGTGCAGTCGAGCAAAAACTGCCCTCTCTTAAGCTGCGTTTATAAAATCCGTTGCTTCATGCGATTTCAACGCAAATACCAGGTTCTTTTGGGTCAAGCGTTGTCTATAGCGTGGGCAAGTTTCACGTTGCAACCTATTTTGCATGAAAAGTTACGAATTTTTAAAAACGAGCGTGCAGCTGAGCAAAAACTGCCCTCTTTTAAGCTGTGTTTAGAAAATCGGGGCTTCATGCGATTTCAACGTAAGTAACAGTGTCTTTTGCGTCCGGTGTTGTCTATAGCGTGGGCAAGTTTCACGTTGTTGTTTATGCTATATAAAAAGTTACGAATTTTTAAAGACGAGCGTGCAGTTGAGCAAAAACTGCCCTCTCTTAAGCTGCGTTTATAAAATCGGGCCTTCTTGCTATTTCAACGCAAATACCATAGTCTTTTGTGTCAAGTGTTGTCAATAGTGTGGGCAAGTTTCACGTTGCTGCCTACTCTGTATAGAAAGTTACGAATTTTTAAAAACGATCAGGCTCTAAACTTCGGCAATGTGTCGATTTAATATTCGTGCAGCTTCCGATCAGCTTAACAGTTAAAGAGCAAAGAAATCAACTGCGAGTTTCCAATCAGTCTAATCAAAGTTTTGCCACTCTGATAGAGCTGGCTCGAACATTCCGGAGCAAAACCGCCCAATATCTTAGACGGTATCTCCATAAATTGCTTGCACCAACTCGTGGTAAATGAGCCGTCGAAGCGCCGTTCTCGCCTTTAAAATGGCCCTTCACGTCAAAAGTATCGGCAAGCAATCAACTGGCAAACATAATACAAGTGAAGGGCCTTCGGCGTCTCAATGATCCACTCTGGGGACGGCCCACAAAGAAACATGCTTCAGGGCGACTTTTCGATCAATTTCTTTCACATTTTTGCTTGAAGTTGTGTAACTATTCTTCTTTTGCACCATTAACAAGGATTTTTATTTGCATCTGGTTTCTTTCTTTTAACGTCTAAAATTAGCATTGAGTCTACAGATTTGAGGCAAAATAAATTGTTCGAATGAAARCTSTKTGATTTTCCATGMAATGTTTGAGCAAACACGGCCATTTCTTCACATGCGTCTGCAAAGGGATTTTAGTGCGATTTGAATGAAACTTTGTTATCAGCGTTATAAAATAAACTGCGCCGAACACAMTAATATCACACTCAATCATTGATAAATCAAAATCACTGTCAGTTTAATAACGCAATGCGTATTTGAAAAGTTTATCAGATCTACAGATGCACCCGCACTAAGAGAAAAATGTCGAATTCAAAGTGCATATGTGCGTCCCAAGCCTCCCTCCCATAAAAAGTTATCACTTCAAAAAGCAATTTTTCATCTGTTTCTACTGATTAAAAAGTTGAAACATTTGGAGAACTCTAACTCATAAATCCAACAACCCTATTAATACAATTTAATTTGCGGTCGGAATTATTTATCCATGGAGCCGTTGTTCAATAGGTGTTAATTAAATTAATTAATAAATATTTTATTTTCCGTCTCCGATCGTAATTAGTTGCACATTTTCCTGCAAAATTGGCAGTTATTTGGTAGCAAATTGATTCAAATGTTTGCAATATATGTTTTAAAAGCATTTCATTGACATTCTCACTTTATAGTCAAAAGACCACCATACATGGATAAGTTATGAATGAATGTTTAAATTTTAACTTATCGCAAACATCCTTCTTATGAGTGGTTAAGCAATTTGAGTTGTCCAGGACCGGTTTAGGAATAATTAGTCCTATTCGATCAGTGAATGATCCATCAGGTTTTTGCGCGTTTCAGAAGAATTTGAAAATTCCGTAGATCTTCTGAGTGGAAATCTTGGCTGGCAAGCATGTAATTAAGACAATTTGAATGGAACGTACCCAGCGGCGTTTTCTATCCCCAGCCCTCGCCGCCTAGCGAATTCCTGAAATAGCCGCAGTGGGCGCCTCGGCCCCCCGATCGATGGCCCCCCATGCTAAAAATAGTCCGACGCTGCCCTACATTTGGGGCGCAACTGGGGCGTCGCGAGAAAAGTGACATTGAATTCGAGGCGATACCGCATGGCGTTGAACGCGATCTTCATTTGACTGCCAAATGTTCAGCTTCAGGGCTACAGCTTCATTTCCTGCATATCGCGGCCGTATTATTCAATGCGGACTTTTTCCGCTGGCGTCATTTGCGTAAACCGATTCCTGCGGATTGACGCCAATTTTTCATGTTTTATGGGGCATTCATCAAAACATTGCAGTCGCAAGCTGCGGGATGCAAAGACGCTTTGCAGTTTCATAATTTCCTCATCCAGTCGAAGAGGAGTTGCAAAGTATGCTGCCAGAAGGCTTTGAAAGTGTCATTATCAAGTAGGGCTCAGAAATCTTGCCTTTGTTATATTTATATAATAATTTTCTTTTTATTTCTAAAGGCATTTTGCGCGAAAAATTACAAGACAAATTTATGGCTTTGTAGGTATTTGACCAAAACCTTTTTCAGCATCGAATTTGAGGCAAAGACGATCACAAAACTAAAAGATTATATTTTTTTACAAGCTTCTTGTTGGGTATTTTGCCTCAAAACTTTTTGTCTTTAAAAAAGACAGAATTTCCTCACGTCTTCTAATACAGATTGATAAATAGTGCCTTGCAAAATTACCTTGACGTTTCGATAGCTATTTTCTGCTATCGTTATCGAAAGAACCTAAAAAAGAGTATGTTAATAAATTGTGTAACAATAGTAGGAAAATACAATATATGAATTTTCGCAAAATATTCTGGAGCATGTTTGGAAATGACCAAGCGAAACAAATCCTCCACATCCCGGATGATTAATTATCGTGACTAATGGCAGGAGGACGGAAAACGCAATTAGCAAGAAATCGCCCTAAATCGAACTGGCAAAAAAGATGGATAGTTTTACAATTGGAAATGCGCACTCAACTTGCCCGCTGTCCAGCATAATGCCGTTTTAAGTGCATGCGAAATTGGGTCGCACTCACTAGTCTATAATTGAGTTTTGGGCTAATGCTTAGTGCTATCAGCTAGAAGCTGCCAACTCCAAACTTTCTAATTTTTTGCAAGAAAATTCGTGCCTGAAAACGCTTCAATATATTTTTATTCAATTAACACTGTTTTTGTGCATGAACCAGGCCCAAAAACCCCATTATCCCAATCACTGCAAAGCTTGCCCGCAGCGTCTTTCATAACTCATCAAGATACGATGAACGTTTCATTTAAAATGCATTCAAATTTTATTCGAAAGCATTATTAAAGGCCCAATAGAGAATTCCGCTGTGCTTAATACACTTTTTAAATACAGTTGCGAAATTATTCGGCAGCTTGAAAGACGCTTTGCCGTAAAAGTAACGGAAATTTGAAAAAGTGAATAAAAAGAAAATCATTTCCGTTCGCAGCGATGAATAATTCAAATCGGCATTTAGGCACCTCGCTTTACTGTTTCTTTCCATATTTACCCGAACCGTAAAGAAAGGAAGCCATTAAATTAAAAATTACCCATTAAAACTGTTAAGGGATATTTCGCATTCGCTTATTAAAAAAAGGATCGCCCCGGAAGGATAAAGAGCTCCGGCGTGATTTAATTGGGAAATTCTGTATTGGAATCTGGAAACACTCAAGACTCTCAGCAGGACAACATGCAGTAAACTGGCACTAACTTGTCTTTTCCAGCAAAACTAGATGGAGTTAAAACCTACATGCGAATGCGACGAGTCCCGAGCCATCTGCAGGTGAAAGTAATCAAGTGGTTCGACTATCTTTGGCTGACGCAAAAATGCTCGGACGAAGAGCGGGCAGTATCCTGCCTCCCTGATAAGCTCAAAGCGGAAATTGCCATCAACGTCCATCTGGACACGCTGAAGCGAGTGGAGATTTTCCAAAACACCGAAGCGGGATTCCTGTGCGAATTGGTGCTCAGGTTGCGCCCAGTACTGTTTTCACCCGGCGATTATATTTGCAGAAAGGGTAAGTTTGCGCCCTTTTCAACTCTCATTTTCATTCTAAGCTAATTTTCATTGAAGTCGATTATCGCTGATGCACTAGACGCCAAATTGTTCCCAAATAAACTTTAACGTAATCTACGTAACTCCAAATAACGTAACCGCTAAAATAACATTGTTACAAACGTGTAACCTGAAACCGTAGTTACAGCGTTTTAAATAGCAGATTTAACCGGTTGTTTTTGACAATTGAGTATTCGGGTAATACTTCGAACACAGGCATCTGCAAAAATGTTTAAAAGTTAATTCATTTTTAAATGAAAATTAGATTTTTTAACATTTTTGCAAATAAAGCGTATATTTTGTTTAATCAGTTTTTATTTACATTTTTTATCTGGTTTATTATCAGTTCTTTTGTTCTTTAAGCAGCTACTTCTAACCCATGTTTTGCTTTTGATTTCAGAATATTTTATTTTATCTAAGAGATTTAGTTAAGAATTATTCTTTTAATAAACTAAATCATTATTTGTCATTACTATTTCAACCATCATCATCATTGCGCATGTTTAATGAAAAATTTTAAAAGTAACATGTTCTTTTTGGAACCGCATTTTGAAACCTATTACCAACGTGAACTAGAACGTTGTAACCCTGTTACAGAAAAATAACCGTTTATCCCACCTCTAAACCACATTCACATGCCGCCCTTGTTAAGACGTTTCTCTCGCTGCTTCATTGCTTTCATTAAAATTAACGACCATCTTTAACTCGACGCTCAATTTCAATTATTTAGAAAGTCGGATCGATCCCTCTTCAACGTCTTCCGCTTAACAGTTGCTAATGGTGGCTATGGGCGAATCTCGTCCTTTGGACTGGTGAACTTATGGAAACATGCGATCGTGAAAAATGCTCGGGTAATTTCAAACCTCTCGTGGTATCACCCCCGAAGATATATTTTCGAAAGATTTGTAAAAATCCGGTTTTCTCTATTCCAAGGCATAGACAGTGGCCAATTTTACTTGGCAGTTTTTGCAATTGACAAAATTTTACATATTTTTCTCCAACTTGAAAGTTTGGCAAATTTTCCCAAAGTGCCCAGAAAATCGAAACTTTCCGGACTTACTGCGCAAAGCTTTCCCCATAAAATGGAACAAAAGCAATATTTTTAACTTGCAAGGCAGATTTGAATCTAGAGCCTCCCATTGAAAAATTTCGCAAAAAATCGGAACTTGTTGGAAGAAAATCGACTCTTGCCCCATCACTAGACCAACATTTTACCTATTAGATGTTCTTCAGCACTTCTTCCTTCTCTATCGAACGACAGGAAAATTATTTTAAGAGTTCAAAAACCAACAGAACAGGATTTTGCCTATCGAAGCAACTAAAATCTAATTTTAGAGCAAATCTCCATTTCAACTGCTGATTTTTTAAAGTTAAACCTGCATATCGTTTTAGAGCATTTGCAGCTCGTCATTTGCTTTCGTTTAAGAAACAACCATGTTTTTATTAGAAACGGCCGGAATTAAGTAAGAAAAAGACTGAATAGAGCGGACCTTTATTTGCAAATCCCGTCAAAAAACTCGGCAGGATTTCGGTTCCTTTTCAGTTCGTGCAATTTTTTTGGCAACTCAATGTGAAAGCGGAAAGCAAACTTTTCCAATAATATTTTAGTCGAAACTCTTGCGTTACCCCAATAGACAGAGCACAAGTTCGCTTATAAACGCTGACCAATTGAGCAGGATTTAATTTTTTTGTGCATTTGTGCACCTTTTTGAGCAACAGGTCTGGTATCCTGCCCTCGTCCTAATCACTTAATTAATCAGAATCACTTAATTGGCGTCAAAAGTGGCTTTCTAATGCCTTTATTGGCCCCTGAATAAACAGTAAAATTTCGGCTTAAAATCGGTTCTTTATTCGAGCCTCAAAATCGATTAACTCCCGTTAAAGCAGCTGAAAGTAAATAATCGCGCCTCTTTGCGAAGCCAGCCCTTGTTTGGCAATTTGCAGCTAACTGCAACTGCAGGCAGTATTTTCCGGCACTTTGGGAGCGCCACCCAGCTAACTTAGTTACTGTCGCTGACTCTTATCGAAACTGTTCAGTTGCACACCTGTAATAGCTGAGTCCACATTATGGAGTTTTCCAGACGCTGAGATGTTTACGTTTTCCACTAATTTAGATGTAAATTGACATGGAAGTGTAACACTTTTTACCTATCAGACACTGAACACTCAGCTAAATCAATCGTGAACAGATTTTAAGTGACTGGAGATTTTTCCTCTTGCTGGCCGATGGAAAAGTTTCGGTGTTAACAACCGAAGCAATCCGCTCGATCTTGCGGTTCGAATATTGAGGAGCGACCGCTAAAGTTGTTAATCCCGTTCGGGGATTCGATTAGCAAACCAATTAGAGGTCCGAAACGGAGTTTTGCAAATTCGGTCCGTTTTGATGGAAAAGTTTCTGGACGCTGTTAAACACGTTGCGGTTGCTGCCATAAATCTCGATGTTTTATGGGCATGTTAGGCCCGATATATGTTGGGTAGGCAAATATTGCCGTTTCTCAGACCATTTTGCCGATAAGGCCGCTACACAGGCGCTATACAAATATGGGTGAAATTAGAGAACGTTTGGGGTTGTTTTCAATGCATCTATAGCATGGAAATCGAGTTGGGGCTGATACTGACACAGGCCGGGAGGCCTGGATAATCAAGCGGAAATTTTACTATGCTGCAGATTTAACGTTGATAGAGAATTGGCGGTTGTTAACGGTTAAATCTTGCTGCTTAAATCTTGCTGCTTGATTTCCAGTTAGAGGAACAGTGCACGCCAATGGATATTCTGCAAACAAAAATTATTTTAGGATTCTGGATTGAGTTGGCAATGAAAAGCTTTCTTGGCCTTTTGGCTGAAAAGGACAGTTTTTGATTAAAAATGTTAAATCCGCTGCGCAAGAAAATCAACGCAACTTTTCACATTCGATGCTTTCCAGTCAGAAAAACGGCGCACGTCAATGGAGTTTTGGCAAACAAAAATTATTTTCTGGTTCTAGATTCAGTTGGGAATAAAAAAGCACTCTTTGTCTTTTTTGCTAAACTGCTCAGTTTTTATGCAAAAAATTGGAAACCGGTTAATTGCCGCAAAAGTTAACGCAAAATTTATCGTTCAGTAATTTCCAGTTAGAAAAATAATGCACGCGATTGTATATTTTGGAAACAAAAATTCGTCGCAGATTCTAGATTGATTTGGGAATAAAACTGCTGTTTTTGGTGATTTTTTCTCAAATGGACAGTTTTTGATTTGAAAAAATTTAAATCGTTGCGCAAGAAAATCAACGCAATTTTCTATATTCGATGCTTTCCAGTCAGAAAAACGGCGCACGTCAATCGAAT